CACGAATACCTACCATATGAACTATTAACATATTATCAAGTATTAACACAATTTTTAAATTTTTAATACTTAATCATTTGAGAGCATGTAGAAAATGAAGATACACTCACAGAGACTAACTCATAAATCTGAGATGAGGACTAGAGATCTGCATTTTGAAAAGCATCCCAGGTGATTCTGATGTAGATGATTTTCAGCACTTGGTCTGACAAACAAGATCTACAACATGATTTTTAACTGCTGCACTGTGTTCTGTTATATAGATGCTATAGTTTATTTTTTTATTTTTTTTTCTTGATGCTATAGTTTATTAAAACAACTCCATATTGTTTAATTAACTCTAGTTTCCAAATTTTCATTTGCATGATTGATTCCCCAATGAATAACAGTCTACATATATCTTTCTGAACATCTCATATTATCTCCTTAGGAAGATTTTGCGGTGGAATTACTGGGTCAAAAGGAATGCAAACTCGAGCAAAGTAGATGATATTTTGAGTGGAAAAGCAACTTTGAAAGCTGCAAAGTACTAGACTAATAGGAAATGTGTTAACAGCTGCCATTTTTTGAGGAACTTTCACATGCCAGGACAGTGGGTCTCAAGATATCGTGCATCAGAATTACTTTGAAGGCTTGTTAAAAACAGATTGTTGCCACTTCCTTCCTGTCCTCTTCTGATTCATTAGGTCTGGGGTGCAGTGGAGTATTTGCATTTCTGACAAGTTCCCAGACGCTGCTGCTTCTGCTGCTTTGGAGAGCCACTGCACGAGACATGATCCTGGGTGTTGATGCATGCTACTTGAATTCATAGAGGTCTATTACAATGAGGACGGGGACTCACTGAGGACCTGAGGCAGTGAAGCTAATGATGGCAGAGGAGCTGGGATTTGATTCCAAATTTGATGCTTCTCCCATAGGAAGCTTGATTTCTTCCTTGATTTCACTGCCCACAAATAAAATGTTTTGGATGTCTTTATAACAAACACCATAAGTTTCAGTTTAAGCCACCTCCCCTTCCAATCTCTTAGGAGTACTTCAGGGAAGAGAAAGGTTAAGAAGTGTTTGGTTGAGAATGTTTTCATAGGAAACTGGTATGATGAATTACTCTCTATGATTCATGTCACTCCGAAGGATTGCTTCCCTGCCCTCCAGTGTCTTCAACAACATGTAGACATCAAAAGAATCATTTCTCAGCAGTGATTACAACCATATAATAGTCCTTCCTTAGTAGAGTGATCTGTCTTCTCCAAAACCACCTCCAGGTTTCTCCACGCAGAGGCCTAAACAACATGTTTGTTCAGGCAAGTCAGAAAATATATCTCATCAGTGCAAAAAAAGAAAGAATTCCTGTCCAACTGGTTGGCTAATAATACCCAGCAGAACAAACACCCAGTGGGTTGGCAAAGCATGAAGCCTGGTTGGCTTCTACCAGACTCAGTTTAAGAGAGGTGAATATTTCCTAACCTACACCCAGAATCACCTAGTGAATCACACACATTTCACAACTAAAAAAATTTAAGACCTAATTATGCAAATTTTTACTTGTTTATTATCTTGGGCTGTTGTCACCCTGCTACCTTCTAATGTGTTGATAATTGTGTGGGTAGATTATTTTTGTGCATGTCATTCAGCCTTCATTTATTCACCCTGGGAGCTGAGGACTGTGTTAGGCACTCTCTAAGGAGAAACCAATGTTGTCTGTTTAAAACACGTTTTGTGTGGCGTCTAGCATAGCTCTGTTGAATGTGGATACCTGAGAACAATCTGCTCTTACTGTTCAATTACATAATGCAAACTGTAACTTCCTTCTGCATTAAAAATAAATAGAGTCTGGAATGCTTTATATTGTAAGGCAAGCCAATACATTCCAATAGATATTTTGTCCAGAGGTTATAAGGAGCTTTGGCCAGCCTCTGGCTTTATCATTTTTAGTGACTCTCTGAGTAAGGGCAGGTTGTAGTTAAAGAAGGCTTGAGAAGTCTGTGGAAGAGTGAGTATTCATCATCAGAGTTCCTCCAAGTGCCAGAAGCTAGTATCAGTAGTTGACTGTTTTGGTAGCAGAAGGATTACAGTAATTAGAATTATCTGACAAAAGAAGGAATGTCCAATGACACAGAGGTCTCTATAAACTAAAAGAATTAACATTCACACTAGATTGTTATCTGTCAGGAATGCTGCCAAGGGCCTGTCTACACTAGTGAAGAACTTTGATTAGCTGACTCCTAGAGATCCTGTAAGACACATACTCTCTCTCTCTCAGCCTCTCTCTCTCTCTCTCTCTCTCTCTCTCTATCTATCTTTATTCCTCTCTCTGTAGTGAGGGGACTTAAAGTGAGAAAATATAGTATTGGTGAGAGGTAAGGGAGGCTAGGATCACACCTGCCTGTCTTCTCCAAGGAAGTATCTGGATGAGAAGTGGGAGATGGGTTTAAGGTGTGGCAGGAATGTATATTGTAAAAGCTGTAACCTCCTCTTTTTTACAAACCATGTTTCAGTGTTGTGCGGATTTAGTGTTTTTCACTGTAGCACTGTCTCCAAACCCAGCAATTCAAAATTATTCATTGGTGGAACCACTTGAAACATTAATGTGTAGCCAAACTTTATGAATTAGAATCCAATTAACCAGAATGACTTTGAAAATTCTGTTTCTAGAAAACATGGGAGAAAACTATCTAAAATAAGCCCATATTGATGATTTAGTATAAAGAAGGAAGTTTTCAAGGTAGAGGACAGATTCAATATAAATTCAGCTTAATGTATGTTTAGACAACGATCACTGATATTCATAATGATTGGATAACAAAATTCTTTTATCAAAAGAAGATCCTATCACTATTCTACTAAGAAAAGCAACTGGACAAGAATATTTTCAACACTAAAGATGAAGACAAGCTTTCTCTTCATCACTGATATAGCCGGAAAATTTAACTAGCGAGTATAGTCTAGTTACTTATTGTAGATGGAAAACTCCCCCTACCAGTTACTAACCATACCATGAATGCTGAGTACTATTGTCAACATTACAGTTTGTATATCAAAAAATATAGCCTGAAAATTCCCAGATCCTTATATTAAATAATTTTTGTGTTGGTAAGCTTCACATTTCATGACATATGTTTAAGGAAGAATGAGTCAATTTTCTCTGGGAATGTCACAGTTATCTTCCCAGGAGTCAAGCTCATTTGTATTGAGAGGCAGTGAAGAGTAATGTGTTAGCACGTGGGCTTCCATGGCCATGCTCACTCTCTGGGCTAACTCTGCATTCACCTCTTTCCAGCTGCATGCTCTTGGGTGAATCATTTCTTTCAGCATTCTCTGTAAAATGGGCAGGAAAACCACCAAGCTTATAGAAATATGAAGATTCAGGGAAATAAAGGTCCTGCATGCTTCTCACAGAGCCTGGCACTGGGCAGGCAACAGAGTTTTTAGCTATGATTATGAAAGTTCCGTTGAATACTTTATGTCATGAAGTTCTATGTTCTTTTTTTAATTGTGGTAAAATATACATAACATAAAAGTTACCATTTTAACCATTTTTAGGTGTATAATTCTGTGTTCTTTTTATTTAGAGGGAAAATATGACCATTTACAACGAATGTCTATACATTAACACTATACAGTTTGCTTTATCTATGAATATTGAAGAAAACAATCAAGACTAATAAGAACATTTGGTGTAAAGATCAAAACAATAAAATGATCTCTATGCCCTCATAATTTTAAAATGAAGTGTATGAAGTCATAAAGTAACTTCTCCAAAGGCTCAACAATATTTCAAACCCCGATTTTACTGAAAAAGTTCATTATTGTTAAGTATAAAATTTATCTGTATACAAAGTAGGATTGAAACCATACAGAAAGATATAAACTGAAAGGTAAAGTCTCCCTTACCCTTTACAAATCCCTTTTCCCCTCCTCCCAGTAGTTTATGTATCCTTCTAGAAATATTCTATGTACTATGTATGCATCTATACACATATAAATCTGTGTTTATAGGATTACAAACAGAATAACACGATAGCCACTATTTTCCATGTAGGTATTTTTTAACTCAAAAGTATATCTTAAAGATCTTCCCATGCTTTCAGAGAACTCGTGGTATTCAATTATAGAGAATATGTCACAATTTATTGGTCAGCTCCTAACTAATAATTAGATTTCCAGGGTTTCTTTCTTTGTTTTTCCTTGCAAAAAAAAAAAAAAAACTGAGTAGTAACTGCTGTACCATTAGGATGTCCTGATCCTTTGTACACAGACACATATCTTTTAAAAATAAAGATGAATGAATTCTTAGCAGATTATTTTAATGACACGTGAAAAACAAGTTAAGATACATAATTAATGAAAGTATTTAGAGTGGGTTGTTATGCTGTGGATCTCTTGGTTCCTTACTTGACATCATGTTTCCTTAGAGATGAAATTAAGGAATGTAGCCTTGTAGCTAAGAGTTTAGGACAAGGAATCCTATCACTTACTAGTTATACAAGATACTGAACCTCTCCGAGCCTAGTTCTGCTCAATGGGTTTGGTATGACAGTCAAATGAAATGCTGAAAGTCAGCATTTTACACAGTAGCATTTAGCATTGATAACTTCTCAATAATTGAAAACATAAGTAGTTAGTAACTATCTGGTGATAATGAGTATTCTTATGCAACAGTTGACTAGAGCTTCCTAAATTTCCAATTTTATTTATCCTTTTATTGATTAGCTGGTGTGTGTTCTCTCCTATGCTTCAAGACAATTATTAATTCTTCTCTTGAAATTTTTTTATTTCTAGGTCTGGGGTAAGACTGGGCACATATTCCACAAGAAACCTGATCTAAATCTGAAGGTAGAAAAAAAAATATGTGTTTTTTAAGAAAATGTTCACTGAGCACTTAGTAACAGGCAAAGCAATGATGGCAAGAATATCTCAGGATGTTTGCCAGGCTTGCTGCTGATCAAACCTTTGTGAATAGCCTTTTGGGGGCTTATGCTCTTAAATCCTCAAGCTGAAAATCCGAACCCCATGAGCCAGGCTCTTCTGCAACCTGTGACCAGGTTCTGCCCATCAGGTGCCCCAGATCTGAAAGGCGGAGTGAGAAGCAGGAGCATGTGTCCCACTTTATTTATTTATATTTTTTTCTGGTAGGGATCACAGTGACAGCTGGAGCTCCTGGCAGCAAAGGCGGAGCTTCTGGTGTCTGGTGTCAGCCTGGCCTAGGGTTGTCTTCCCTGGAGCAGCCTGTGGTGTTGTTTGGGCTGTGCTCCTGGCTGCAACCTCTGAGCTTGGTACTCTGGCACTCCTGCAGCGGCTTTGAATGCTCCTCAGTTACTCTGCTGTGTAAATAAGCCAAATGGATTCTGTTATTTACAACTGAGTGCCTACATTCCCCATTTCCCCAAGCCCCAAACTCCACCCATTTCCTCATTTCACTGTGTGGCAATTTGGTCCTGGTTGCTCAGGCCCCAAATCTTGGTGTCATCCTTGACCTCACTCTTTCTCTCAATAATGACCTAATTGGTTTTTCTACATATATTCAAACCCCCCATGGCTTATTGCTAACCCAGCTACCAGAGTGATTTTCCAAAAAATATGTCACATTATGTCACTCCTCTCCTTAGAATTTTCTGGTGGCCTCCACCTCCCTGAGTAAAGTCGAATCTTATGTCCTTTTAAGGGTGTCCTTCTAAGGCCCACTCCCGTATTACCCTTCTTATCAAGTAGCTGTTTCCTTCTTCACTCACTGCCCTCCACACACTCTGGCCCCAGGTACATAAGATCCCAAATGACCCAGCTGCCTGCTTCAGCAATTCCCACCATGCTGCCTTTTTGCTAGTCTCAGAACATGCCCAGACCATCACTACCTCAGGGACTTGTCACTGGCTCTTCTTTTGCCTGGAGCCCCCCTCCCTCTAAAACACATCTTGCTCCCCACCCCATTTCCATATTGTTCAACCTCTTATTTCTTCAGATGTCTTTCCCTAACCTCCCAAGATTTAGCTGCCCTTTACACCCAATCCGTCAGCTCCTGATCTCTCTCCTCTTCTATTTCTTTGCACAACATTGCTTATTCTCCAAATATACTTGCTTATTTGCCAATTGTCTGTCTCTCTCCCCACATGAATATAAGCTCCATGAAGGCAGGGACTTTGGCCCCTGCTATATTCTCAGCATCTAGAATGTTGCTTAGCTCAGGAAGTACTCTAAAAATATTTGTCAAATAATTATATAAATGAAGGAATGAATGCATGAATATGAAGGCATATGGCATTCTCTCTTCTCTGAGAGTTTATAAGGGGGTTAATACACGTCACTCAAGGAACTGTTGCAAAGGCAGCAACTTTAATGGAAATCAGTCAGAAGCCTTGAAGGAAATAACTGGTTTTACCTAAATTCTTCATTTCAATGAAAACAAAAAGCATTGTGCAAGATTTAGTAAGAGCTCTTTGAAGTCTTTCCTAAGCGTGGTCAGAGACATCTATGGTGTGATTTAAGGGGTATATAATGGAATCACCTGCCCAAACCAATATTCCCTGATCTATCATAGTGTCTAAAATTTTTTCGAAGGTCTTATTTATTTATTTGAGAGAAAGAGAGAGAGGACAAGCAGTGGGGAGAGGAGAAGCAGGGAGTGGTCTTCCCGCTGAGCAGGGAGACCAGTTTGGGGCTCCATCCCAGAACCTGGAGCATGACCCAAGTTGAAGGCAGATGCTTAACTGACTGAGCCACCCAAATGCCCTCAGAGTGCCTAAAATTCTTAATAATCATTCTTTTATTTATTCTAGAAATATCACAGGTTCTGTTTTTCCCAGCTGGGACATAGCAGTCTTCGAATCACATTTTATTTGAGGACACCAGGCATCATGTGGTACTAAGTGCCAAGAGAAAAATGATAATGGTCAGGGAGAGGGTGGTGCGGTTGAGTTTGTGGCTTTTCAGATAGGACAATTGAGGAAGTTAATGTTAGGGAGGTGACATTTCAGTAGAGGCCTAAATGAGGTAGGGAAAGAAGCCTTGCAGATGGTGTTCAAGTCACTCCTGAAGATATCTCATTGAGCAGAGAGTGATAGTGACCTCTTGGCTGTCTAGGAGATCTAGCCGGTGATTTGAAAGTGTTGTAGCACTTAAAACACCATATATTACCTATCTCATTTCACTTCTGCCACAATGCTATGAACTGCAAGGAACAAAAATTGTCATTCCCATTTTCTAGTCAAAGAAACTGAAGTGATTTGCACATGGTCAAATAACTAGTAGGTAGACAATCTGGAGCAGACAGAAATTCAGTATCTTTGTATGATGGATCCCACTCACGTAGACACGCAGACACAAAAAACAGTGCACAGTTTGGGAATAAGACAGACCTGAATCTAAGTTTTTCAGTCTAGTTCTTCTTGCCATAGACAAATTACCTACCTTTTCTTGTTTATTGCAAGGTGGGTAGACAATATGTCCAGGAACTGAAATTCTAAATGAGAATTTCAAATGAGGTTCCTGAAGCTCCTGGTCTATGATCTGATATACAGTAGATTCTTAGTAAATAAAACTTCTATTGTGGGCAGATGCTTATCATCCCAAAGATTATTCCAAGGTAGGAATAAAGAAATGGAAAGCAGGGACTAGAAAGTTTACTTCACCTTGAAATTCTATGTGTCTGTAAAGAATTTGAAATATTTTTATTTCTTTCACATTCAAAAGACCAGATTAGTGGGTCTGGGAATGACTGAGTTTTTCTTTAGTCCTCTGAATGTCTTAAAAGTATTTCTTTGTATCTCTATTTGGAAGGCAATGTCACAGAAAAATGACCTTTGCTTTCAAGCTCTTCAGAAGGCTCAAGAGGTAGGAAAGCGTCCATTCCAGACCCATTTTTAAATTTCCCTTAAAGGAATAGGAGTGGGAACTCATAGAGTGTGTTGAATTCTATTTCTCAAATACTGTTTCAATGCACTTTTCAAGTATGTGATGTTGGGTGGTTACCGTATAATGGGATTCAAAAGAGATTTATAAACTTCTAGAGGGGTCTATGCTTCATGAATTTCTTGAGTGGGCATTTGAGTCAGGATCAATGAAGCATTGATAGGTGATGCCCTCAACAAATCAAGTGAACACACCAGATATTATCTCATCCAGATTCTGGATTACGTTACATACAATTCAGACTACAAACCTGTAGAGGGTCAGAGTCATATGTGAGTCTCAATTTGCTGTAAAATGCATGATATTTGTGAATCTGTCAGCAAGGATAAAGTTTCTTTTGTTTGTTTTCTCTTCTTCAGACTCAACTAGAGGGGAAAAATGTCATTCAAGCCCCTCAGACCTCCATGCAAAGTTGTTCTGATATACACATAGATATGCACTTGTGATAAATTGATGTTGACTTTATTCCTGTTCAATGGGTCAGACCAAGGAACCACACCATTTATTGATGCCAGCATTAGGTAACATTCATTCGATGGAAAGGACTCTGGTAATTCTATTTAATGTCAAACAACACCTTATGCCCTGACACGGCAGAAGGGCCTGGAGTGGCAGTTGTACTCCTCATGCTCTGGTATGACATTCCCAAGGTAGGATTTGATTACAAACAGCAATAGGGAATTATGGGGAAAGAGATGAAGCACAGAGACCAGGAGACATAAAGAGATGACAATAACAAGGCTGTGAGGCAATCTGTGTTACTTTATCAGGCTGTCATCAGGCAAAGGATCTTGCTGGAATGCCTCCTTGCCTTCAGGATAGACACTCAGACCTGGTCAAGTCAGGACACTTCACAGGAGCCAAACTGTGCAGTTCCTCTGAAATGCTCAACATCTCATGCAGACTCAAATGCAATTACGAGAAATTTCCTGAGAAAACAAAATGAGACCTTCTAAGCTTCTGTGTATTTATTTATGTGCCATTTGGGGATGTTTGGGATACAAGACACATGTCTCCTCCTACAACTCAACTTCAATCACATTTGAGCAATTATTCAAAGCTCAGCATACTCTAATTAGTTCCTTCTTCTATTTATTTATGTATGTATGTATTTTAAAGATTTGTTTATTTTTTATTTGAGAAAGAGAGAGAGAACAGAGCAGGCAGGGCACAGAGAGAGGGAGAGAAAATCTCAAGCAGACTCTGCACTGAGTGCGGAGTCCGACTGGGGCTGAAGGCAGGGTTCAGTCTCACAACCTGGAGATAACAACCTGAGCCAAAACCAAGAGTCAGAGGCTTGACTGACTGTGCCACCGAGGCACCCTCGTTCCTTACTGTATTTAAAAGTATTATTTATTTATGCATGTTCTCCTTCCTCCATTTTTTCTCTTATGATTTATACTAAATTTGTTTACTGGTATCTATCTTCTTTTTTTTCTCAGATAACTCTAAGTTTCAAGAGTTTCTCTTTTGAAGTCTTAATGCCTAGGATCATATAAGCAATAGTAATCACCATCACCATCCATGCATATATATATGCATATAATAACATACACTTGCACATGTGTCATATTGTGTGACTTACAAAGCACTTTCACACACATTATCACATTTAATCATAATTACAATAATAACATCCAGCCCTCTTCCTCTTTCTCCTGGTTACCCTGAGGTGGACACTTTACTAAGAGCTCTCCATGCAATGTTTCCAGAAAAGGAAGACTCAAGGAATTCGAAAGGCAATGAGGAAATCCTTGAAGGGTAGTTGAACAAGCACTTAACTAGGCAGGAGTGGTCCCAGGAGGAATGGTCACACTCTGCTGTTGGTTTCTACTTATTTGGCACCAGTCAAGTGAGAACCTCAGTGTGCTCATATGCAAAATTAGATTAACACACACCTGCCCTGACTCCTTACAGAGTTACAATGAGAATCAAATTAGATAATATGTAAGAAAATATTTTGTGGCTTGCCAAATGAAGGATACATATTTTTATTGATTTTCTTTCCTGCACTTGACTTTTGCCAGCATTTGTAGCATTGTCTTAAACAAAAGCTTCTATTGAATAATAGAATAATAGGAAATTGAACATTAAGTTATAGAATTGGTTCTACTGAATAATAGAAAAGATGAAAATTTGTAGAATTGTATAAGCATGTTTTAATAGTCTTTTGGCCATTTTGCTTTACTTATGATCAATACATATAGGTATCTGTTTGGCAGCCAGATACCTGAATTCAATCTATGGGAGCTGAGCTCAAAAGGAAAATGAAATCTTGTTTCTTTTTTAAAATTTTTAAATTTTTTTCCAAGTGAAATCTGCAGATAACTTGCATACAAATCACATGGCATGATTATAAGCATTTCTGATTTCTCCACCCTACTTTTGTCTACTGAATTAGAAGCCGCAGGTATCTGCTTTGTTTAGAAAACACAGCATCTGAGACTTAATTAGGCCCACTAGTCCAGGAGCCCAGAACATACTGGCTGAGGTTTGCAAGTTGTTAGAGGGCATTCGTTGTTTCTTTTCAGCAGTAACAAGATTTTCCTATCAACATTATATTAAAAGCAGATACACATTCTTATGTGAAATAAAAGCAGCGCTCCATTTGTGTACAAAACTTGACTTCACTTGCTTGAAAGCACTTTGAAGTCGTGTTTTCTCAGCTTTCTTTAATTGGATGGTGCATTTATAAGAGAACTTTGGAAAGAGTATTCTATTTCAGTGTTATTTCTGGCCTCCATTCAAGAAACCAATAATCTCATAAGCAGTTAAATTGATAACCAAGCAGTAACTCTCCAAATTAGAAAGGGGTCTCAACTCATTTCAAGCTATGATATTAAAATCCATAAGATGTTAGCAGTCTGTACTATATGTTGAAATAAAAAAGTAGAGATTTTGCTTTTGGTCATTAGTGAATATGGGATGATAGAGTATTATTTCAGAAGTTACCAATCACCAACCAGCTTCATGGAACAGAGAAATAAAAGAGAAGAATCAATACTTATTCAACACATATTTATTAACAACTGTGTACCTGGCACTGGTCCAGGTCTAGAGCTAGAGGACTAAATGAAGCAAATCAAGGTTCCTTACTTCTTAGCTCTAGAAAGGGAGGCAGAAAATAAAGAAAAAGCCAATATTTAATATTTCTAAGATCAAATGCACATTATAAGATGATAAGTGCAAAGGCCAATGGTTTACTCTGAATCTATTATGCTGAAATTTAAAATTCTGGAAACTGCAGAGTTTGAAAATGATATGCTTAATCACTCACATTTATGGTCATATTTACAGTATAGTCAAAATGCATATTTCATATATGATTGATCTTTTTTCCCTGAGGCCAGATCCTGTCTCCCTTGTCATTCCTGCCCTTCTATGATGATGCCCCAGAAAAGCAGCCAATCAGGAGACTAGTTTGTTTGCTTGTTTGTTTTCTCAGCACTTTTAACTCAGGAACCAAACCAGTATGAACTGGATAGAGCATCAGAGTCATGTCTGAACTGTACCCAGGGTCTATGCATAGTTAGCTAGTTTCAAAACCGCAAGCTAATACCCATACTACCAGCATGCCGTTCTTTTTTTTCCCCTCTGCTGTGTTATTCATATTTAGAGTCGTAATATGACCCCATCCAAAAACCCTGTTGCAGAAATTTCTTGGAAAAGAACATACAGTTTATCTGTGCCTATGAAGAACCTGTTAATTGGGGAAGGGAATGGGATGAGGGGTTGTAAAAACAAAATGAACCAAAAACCCGATGAAGAGCTATACATTTTCTTTGTATAACCTGACATCATTTTAGTCCAAAGTGGGAAGTCACCTTTTTTTTTTTTAGAGATATATCAGCAGCAAGGAAAGGATATTGCTATTCTGATCAGAATTCGGTCAGTAGGTATGTTTTGGGTTTGATTTAATTTTTCCTATTTGTCTTTCCGCCTATATAAAAATTTCCTCTAGGGGAAAATATGCCAAGGTTAAACTTTACATGGATTAACCAATTACCTACGCGTCGTAGCCTTCAGCAATTTTTAATAATAAGACACCATCCACTTCATGCTAAACTGCAAAAAGTGATCCCTTTTTCATAATATTAATGTTATTCCATGGAACAGCACTATTAGAAAAAATCCCAGAAGCAAACATGGTACAAATTATGGAGCAGCTGCAGAGAGGTGGCTTCTAATCATATTGAACAAGAATAAGAACAAATAAATCAAGAAAGAAACTCCTCCACTTCTGCTGACCCACGGATGTCCATTTTAACCCTGGGTAAATATCTAGCAGCTCGCAAGAGGAGGGACACGCAGCCTGCCGGGAGGGTGACAGTAAAGCTCACCTGGGCTCGGAACACTCAGAGGGGCCAGGAGCACAGGAACTTTATTTTGAAATCCAGCTTACCTGGTTGAAACTGTTGGTTCCCGACTTTAACTCCTTGGCAGAGGTGCTAGCTGAGTGTGCACATTGCACAGACACATGGCAGCAAACAACCTCTGGGCTGTGGGCGAGGGACTCACCTCACCGCCGCTGGGCCCTGGGCTGCTTCCAAGGGCTGGTCGGGCAGGCAGTGGCACCAAAGCAGGCAGACAGGCATGACTTTGGGACAGAGAAAGGGCTGGAGGCTCAGGGTTTTGTCATCTATGTTTGTTAATATAAAAATAGATTGTTGAAAGGTGATTGGAATTGGATTTTCAGCTCAGGCCACGTTATTAGGAAATGGCTTTGTGGCAGTAAATGTCATCTTTAGCTAGAGACCTTCAAAAAGCTGAATCGAGGTCAAAATCAAAGCTTGGCAGAGGTCCCCGTGTGCTGCCCTTCTCTTGTGCCTTTTTTTTTTTTTTGGTCCTGAAAGTGCTTTGCCAAACACTTCTCTCTCAAGAGCCACTTCTAGGGGAGAAGAGGGCCTCAAATCAGCAACTTTTAGGCATAGAACAGCAGATGCTCTGTCTCAAACCTAAACATCGTCTTCTTGTTGCTCTATTACCTGAGCCCCCCAAATACTGCTTTCAATCAGCCATTTAGTTCCAACGAGTTACTGCAATGATAAGACGGTGTCCTTGAGTCTGGGGTTATTTCAAATACGTGACTGTGTTCCACCCACATGCAGAAGGCCTAAAAATTGCAGAATCAGAGCATTTGCTGTGCTTCTCTGTGATACTATCTTCCAGGCACAAATATACTAATCTGTTAAACAAAGACTCTTATCCAGTTCTGAAATGCTAAGTGTGTCTCACACTGGAAGAAATAATTTACAGTCATCTTTCCCTAAGTTTCATTTCAAAGAAAATGTCTTCCATTATTTCAAGAGGGAAAACTAGGAAATTATTAGATTATTTCACAAGGAGCCGTGGTCCTTTTACAAATTTACTCTTGCATCTCCATTTCAGGGAGAGATGCAAGTCCCTTTGCCTCCCTGAGGTCATTGCCCTGGTTTGTGCCTTAGATGTGTTTATCCCATCATCCAGACAGTTCAAATCAGGAGTGAGGTGCATTTGAGCTGGGTTTCTCCTCCTGCCAAGAGGATAATCCTCTACTGACCGGTCAGCATTTCCATCTAGCAAGTTTGACCTTTCGGAAGGAGATGCTGCTTTAAGTTTGCACAAAATAACCTTAGTGGCGAATGAAGCCCAAGTTTGGGGTGACAATGTTGTCCCCCTCACCGCCTATTTCCAGCTTTCCTTGCCTGACGTGGACATTGCAAATACAGCGTCTTTTCAAAGCAGTATTTCGTTCCGAAAACATATAGAGTTAGAACAAATTTTGCATAATTCTATTAAAAGGCTTATACCTCAGCTTTGCAAAATATTTGAGAAAATGTGATTCAGGGGAAAGAAAGTCTTATCTTCTGGCCCAGGAGGTGCTTCCTGGAACTAAGCTTGTTAAAGTCAGGAGTGCATGGTAAGCACCAAAAATTAATAAAAAAATTCGAGAGACTTGAAGGGCTTCTTTGATGTTCCTTCAAGTCCCCAGTGGTCTGAAGCTTAAGACAGAGATGCATTTTCTGTTTCTTTCACCACATTGCAAATTTAGACACTGGCGTCATATTACAGTATGGAAAGCATAGGTGTGTCTCTGTAGAATCTAGAATAAAATTTATTGGCTCTTTCTTTCTTTTTTTTTTTTATTGGCTCTTTCCAGTTGAGGACAGTTCTTTCTTTTTGGTGTCATTGCAGACTTGAAACCATCTTCCATAGATCAAATGACTCTGTCCTCATGCTTATTTTGATCATATGATGCTGCCGGGTGTTCACAGGTTGACGGCCAGTTTGGCATCCATTTTTCATATTCAGCTTCTGAGATCATACTTACAGAACCAAGCACCTCCAACAGTGTAAACATTACAATGAAAATGCTTCTAAGTATAGAGCAGGTCTCCATTAAACAGGCTGCTGTTCCAGGAGCCAACGGCTGTACGTTCAGATGACGTCATACAGTCAGGAACCCTGCAAGAGAACTGCGCTTGTACTGTGAATGGAGAGTGCCCACAGCCCTCAGAAGCCACCATTCTAGAACTCTCTGGAGCCTTAAGCCTACCTTCTTCTTCTTTTATTCTTTTTTTTTTTTTAAGATTTTATTTATTTATTCATGAGATACACAGGGAGAGGCAGAGACACAGACAGAGGGAGAAGCAGGCTCCCTGTGGGAAACCCAATGCGGGACTCGATCCCAAGACTCTGGGATCAAGCCCTGAGCCAAAGGCAGATGCTCAACCACTGAGCCACTCAGATGCCCCTGAAGTCTATCTTCTATTGGGACCTTCTATTGCATTCTTGGGGGATCCCTGGGTGGCTCAGCCAGAACATGTATAGTCTAGAAATAGAAATCTCCCCTGATATGTGTCTCTTTTTTTTTAAATTTTTATTTATTTATGATAGTCACACACACACAGAGAGAGAGAGAGGCAGAGACACAGGCAGAGGGAGAAGCAGGCTCCATGCAGGGAGCCCGATGTGGGATTCGATCCCGGGTCTCCAGGATCACCCCTGGGCCAAAGGCAGGCGCTAAACCACTGCGCCACCCAGGGTTCCCTCCCTGATATGTGTCTTAATTTTCATTTCCTATTCACCTTAACTGTTGCCAGGACCAGACCCTAGCTTTTTAAGCACATAAACAAAAATTCTATTTTATTTTTTGAAATTACAAAATTTATAAGTATGTTGACAGCAGAACAACTTTTTTTTTTTTTTTTTATCCATAGGTAATTTTGTGATTATAAAGTTCTGGGTAGATTTATCAAAATGGAAATTTCTAAACATTTCTTTATCTGTGCTTCTAGGATAACCCAGCAGCCACTGCTGTGATAGCATCTAGTTAGCGGCCACTTTTGTCTCCACAGTCTCTTCTGCCTACCAGCATAGCACGGTGAATCATACTTGATTGTCAATTTTGAAGATTTTATTGGGTCTTAATTGTATTTCATATCTAATTTAAAGCCTTTCCAGATGGTTTTGTGATTCCCTTTATATAACTGACCTTAGGCTACATTCCTCTTTCCTGCCAAGTGATCTTCCTTGCCATGTTTTTCACCTATCTTGCTATCCACCTATCTTGCTATCTACCTCCAAATTATATTAAATCAACCTTTAAATTATTTAGATAAAAAACACTTAGGAGAGCTTTTATGTCATTTTAAAAAGCAACTTATATTTAATTCCTAATTGCTCTGGGAAGTTGTATACATTTGGTCATCCATTCATAAATGTGTATGTAGTGCTTTGGTGCTTATAAGTAAAATTCACATGCTGAAGATTATGCAGGCAGAAGAGTGCTATTACCTAGAGTTGCCTTTTTAGGATTAACATTGAGAATTGTGTTCTGATTACGTAATTCATAGGCAAAGTTATGTTACTCTACCTGACATGGCACAAATATTTATAATATCCAGCCAAAGTTGCCACCTGGGGACACAAAGAACAAAGAAACAAAAGTCCCAATCAAATTAGAGTTTAATGAATCCATCTCAGGCCAGCTGTGAACTTCTGATGCCAAGGCATTCTAATGAATAAACAGAGGAAAAACTTGGAGAACAAAAGTCTTCATAATTATTTGCATTCTTGGGGATCCCTGGATGGCTCAGTGGTTTAGCGCTGCCTTTTACCCAGGGTGTGATCCTGGAGTCCCAGGATCGAGTCCCACATCGGGCTCCCTGCATGGAGACTGCTTCTCCCTCTGCCTGTGTCTCTGCCTCTCTCTCTCTATGTCTCCCATGAATAAATAAATAAAATCTTAAAAAATAAAATAAGATCCTTAAAAAACATTATTTGCATTCTTTTGGTAGCTGTAATCACAGAATTTTTTTTATTGTCTGTTGCAACCTACAACTACACTCATGTTGATGTATTTTTAAGTTGTGGTTTATTCTCTGTTGTGAGTTAGCTATGAAATTATTAAAATCAGCAAAATCTCCTTCTGAAATGCATGAAGTATAATAGATATATGTATTTCAACTTAACCAGAACTTGCAGATGAATAGCAGTTCCAGGTTGGTTTTTATATAATTTAGTATAGCCATTACTAGACTGCAAATACACCACACACAATATACTATATTATAAAGTATGTAGCTAAAATAGAAATATTAGAAAATCTCATAGCTAATATATTTATATATTTGTCCTTTATTCTTAAATTCCAATTTCTAAGGTAACATTTTTTTTTCCTGATTATTAAAACAACACATCCTTGTTTTGGAAGAGATGGAAAAGACACAAAAATAAAAGAAAGTCAGTAAGAATAATATAATGCTACAACCCAGAGACATCCATTCTGGTATTTAAGAGTGCATGTTAACGTTATTAACTGTTTTTTGTAATTTTAAGTATAAATATAGTTAATTTAATTACATATATATTTATTTATTGTTTTTTTCCCCCTGCCAGTTAGTACTTTTCAAATCACATTTTTAAGAGCTGCATAGTATTTTGCAATGCATATACTAAAATTTTTAAAAAATGCCCCTTATACCCAATAAAAATTACTGTGGGTACTTACAGCTTCAAGTCATAGTTGCCATGGCAGGTCATTTGGGCCTTCCGTTTCTTATTTAAGGTAGAGCTATTATTTTCTTTGATTTGCATGGAATACCATTAGACAATCTAGCCTTTTTCTATTTGTTCTTCTCCATGTGCGAGTTCCCACCATTGTCCATTGTCCTATTTTTGCCTATTTCATGCATTTCACCTTTCTGCCTGAGTATGCCACCTTTGGCACAGAATGTACAAGAGTTAAGGTAAACATCAAGGGAATCAAAAATGATTGAAAGTGACTTTTCTGAATTAAAATCACTGTTTAAGTGAGAGGTACACTTTCTTCACTATTCAGCACAGCTGTTTTGTCCCATGTTACTATCATGATTTTTCCTCTGTGGCATTAAGTGGATGGATATGTGCTATTTGGAAAGAAAAGAGAACAAGAAATTAGGACAGTATGTGGTGATGGCTTGGGCTCAGTTCTCTTGGAAGCTTTTTACCCAGAAGTCATGGTTTCTCTTTAGTCTTGGGCAGGGTAGGCCATGCTGTAGTAACAAATTAATCCTGAAATCTTTGTGGCTCAGAAGAATAATTATTTACTGCTCAC